TCAAGAAGTGGTTAAAATATGGGTAAAGTAACATCAACACATATCGAAATATGCCAAACATCAGTTAACATCAAATATCAAAATGGAGTCATACTGAAAAAAAAAGTCATTGGCTAAAGAATTTTTTAAATTTTTAGATAGCCGACTAAATGAATTTTGAATTAAGGATAATATTTTCACTTACAGTATTATAAAAATAATTATTATTTTAGAAACTGAACTAAAATAAAAAATATGTTTTGAAAGATATCAACACATAAGAGTTCAAGTAGTAGTATCAAAAGAGTCCGTCATAGTCTCAACCTTTGATTATTTTGCCATAAATATGAGTTATTATTTTGCTTTCTGACTATTTTTAGGATCCAATAACACATGCGAGAATGGTACCAAAAAAGAAAAATAGCATTATAATTAGGAGATTTGAGAAATGGTTAATCTTTTTCATGTAGTGTTTCTTAATTAATACCCAATGGTTATCTATATTTATCGATAAGATTTAAATTTTAAGATTATTTACATATAATCTAAATAACTCAAATATTTAATATGGTTAGTGTAATACTAATTAATGTTAAAAGATGAATTTTTTAATATGTGTAAAAACAACAACAAAAAAAAAACAGAGGAAGTAACTCATTCAAACCTATCTCTATCAAAATTTTAAAAATATAAAATTTGATTTTTTTATTAACTAATATATAATTATAAATTATAGGCAAAAAGGCCTCCTGGTCACTTAAACTTGCACCCGATTGTCATCCCGGTAAATAAACTTATAACTTTTCCATTTAGATATTCAAAGTTAAGAGAATAAGTATTATTAAATACCTCTGACGGTTGACCATGCTTGTGTGGCAACGCCGTATGTGATGTGGCAATAGTGCGTACCAATCACGCAAATTAGACGCGTAAATTTACTTTACTGAAATAAAAAATACTATAAAAAGACAGAAACTAAAAATGAAAAGAAAAGCCCAAATGCCTCCAGGTACACCCATGTCATCACAATCCTCTTATCTCTTCCTTTTTCTTTTATTTTTTCCGTTAACACTTCCCCTTTCCTTCCAATTTTTCTTTTGTCTTGACACAAAAGAAAAATCTTTTCCTCTTCCTCTGTATGTTCCGTCGTTCATAGTTCCAAAGCAAAAAAAAATTGAACTTAAAATTAAATCAATAAAATCCATAGTATTTCACAACAAAGGAATCAAAACTTTAAATATGAGCAACATAGCAGCAGGTTGTGACTTATCGGTGACGATATTCTCGCCAGACGGCAAAGTATTTTAGATCGAATATGCTGGCAAAGCTATCGATAACAGTGAAAATGAGTTATTTAGTGGTATTTAAAGGTTCTATGGTTGAGTCACACATTGACCATTGAAAATGATGGCTTGGGGGTTTGGCGGGCTCTTGGCATAGCTATGCAGATGATTTAATGGGCGAAAAATCCTATGACAATCATTCACTCCATTTGAGCAGACTCCATTTGAGAAGAACAATTGAAAATGTAGAGTTCTTTGACAGAGACGACTGAAAATGAGTGTTTTAGGGTCTTTTCAAAAATGACACGTGGCGGGTTTTAATTCGTTTATTGCTGACTGGGTTGCCACGTTTGTGAAATTGTAATGCACGCGCTATGATTCAATGGTCGGAGGTGTTTATTAGTTCACTTATGCTCAAGTTGAAGTGTTCATATAGGAATTTTGAAAGTTAGGGGGCCTTTTTGCCTAAATTATATATTTTTGAGGCCTAACATCTTGTTTGGATGGTTGTTACACATCGTTTCATAATGTATCGTATTGTATTGTACTGTATCGTTTGATGAATACAATATTTGGATAGATTGTATCGTTTATCGTTGTTTAATGATATCATGCACCAGCAATATGAAGAATAAATTTGCAATAATATAAAGAAAAATTATGATACAAGATAAATTTATTATATAAAAATGTAGGATAAATGATAAAATAAAATTAGTTAATAATGAAAGGTGAGATGAGAGAAAAAGACAAGATAACGACGCAACCACACCAAATCAGTCGTTACATAAAGTGGCATATTTCATCGTTATGTAACGACGAATTTAACGATACGCAATAAAATTTAAGTAACAATCAAAACAAATATAGTATTTAAAGTAACAATATACAATACAATAGGTAACAATAGCGGTGTCAATGGATATTTGAAAATCGACTAAACCGACTGAACCGAACTGACTTTTAGGTTTCTATTAATAAAATCGTAGGTTTTTATAAAATCTACAACCGTACCAATAATTAGGGTAGATTTTTTATTGTATGAAAATAAACCGAAAAAAATACTGAACCGTACCGAATAAATTTATATGTGAAAAATATATATGTTAAGTTTAAAAATAATAATTAAAATTTTTCTTGGGCCTAAGAATTATAAAAATTGTTACAAGCCCACAAGTAATTAAAATCAAAATCCTAATTCCCAAACCTAATATGTTACTCTTAGTGAAATTAAATTATTTCGAACATATTCACTAGCAAGATACAAAGTATTATAGCGGTTATGAGTAGCAAACTACAATGTATTGAATTTGTTTTCTTTCATATAATATATATTTATTTTTTTAAATATTTAATCTTCTATAAACTTTATTTACGAGTCTCACGCTCTCAGCTTAGTTAATATTTTTCTACTCGCGTGATTTATCTTTTCTTTATCTTTGTTTAGTTTTTTTTACAATGTTGTAGAGTAGTTGATGGATCTATACTCTGGCCATCTTTCATATTTTCTTAAATCATCACCATTTAAACAGTAAAATTATTTAGAGAGCTTTGCTAATTCCAATGAAAATATGTATATTATGATATTTTATTTTTACTAGTAATTTTTACGTGATATTTTAAAAAATATCGAAAATTAACTGAACAGTACCGATAATGAAGAGAAACTGACCTGATTGAGACGGTTTCGAAAAGTCTAATTTTAGTTATACATAGTATAGAATAATCAAAAAATTGGTATGATACAAATTTTATAAAATAACCGGACGAGCTGAACCATTAACCATCGAAACAAGCTGTAACGCAAGGGTTTGGCCTGCCTTACCCTAGAGCCGCCCTTGCATCCACTGAAATTATTGTCAAAACCTCAAAAAATGAGCGACTCAAGAGAAGAATCTCCAGACTGGCTCCGCTCTTTTCAGGTATATATGTTTTGTTTACCTTGCAATTCATACATTTTTGCGCGCTGTGCGGTGCTCGGAATCGATTCTATGCAATGACTCACTGCTTAATTAATTGAACATTTCCTTGTCGTATGACTGAGTTTAAAACGCTTTTGATTGCTAATGTATCGTTGCTATCACTTCGGATTAATGTTCCATATTGCTTCTAGACAGAACCGGATTCAAGTACATAGGTGTAGTAAATAGTGCACCCATTGTACCTTTGTGGTAATCGGTGCTAAATTTAGTGTAAATATTTATTGAAAAAAACTTTCTGGACTAGATATAGAGGTCAAGCTGAAGGAATTAGGTGCAGACTCACTAGTCATTCACTCACGATTACTTAGAGCCCGTTTGGACATAAGAAATTTTTTCCTTTTTTTCAAAAAATTTTCACTTTTTTTCGAAATCAGCTTTGTTCATAAAATTTTCAATTTTCACTTGAAGATGCATTTTGGAATTTTTCGAAATTTTGAAAAACTCCAAAAAGCTTTTTTTCAAAATTTTCACTCAAATTACTCACAAAACTTCAAAAACAACCCAAAATTATATTCATGTCCAAACATAACTCTAATTTTCAAATACTATTTTCACTTGAAAAACTTTTTCACTTTTTTTTTGGAATTTTACAATTCTTATGTCCAAACGCCCACTTAGTTGCATCCCTCAGGGGCAGAGCTATGTAAAGCCAAGGGGGTTCAATTGAATCCCCTTCATCGAAAATTTTTACTGCACAAATAGGGAAAAAACGAGTTTTTCTTAGTTTATATATAAACTGTTGAGTTCCCTTGACATGAGGGAAGATTCAAGTGTAGTGGCGAAGGGGTTTAAAAATTGCTTCAGGTCATAAGTTCAAGTTTTAAGTGTGACATTCTAGTATCTTTTTCTAAATTCCTGGCTCCGCCATTGCATCCGATCCAGCTTTTGGTTGGTGTTAATTATTGTCAAGGTTGATAATATAGGATCATTATTGAAGTATAAGACTGTTATTTTGAAGTTTATTCATTCTCCATGTACGTTTGTTGAAAGCATGTGCATTGTTTAGTTATTATTTGTTTGCTGTTGTACCATTTTCCTGGCAATAACCAAGAAATCTACTGTTAAATTCAAGCAGGCGCCTGCTCGGATAACCTTATCGTCCGGATCTGAATCTCCCTTAGATAACAGCCGTCTAAGTGATGATGAGGATAGCGTCAATCTTAGTAAACTGTTTCAGAAGGATAAAGCATCACTTTCAGAGGCCAAAAGCAGTCAGGATGGGGAGGAATGTCAGCTCAACAAGATGTCTGAAGTAAATTCTCCAATTAAAAATGCAAAAGTAGATCACACACCTACTAGGAAGAGAAAGAAGGAAAATCAGAGTGAAAAAGAAGGTATTTAGCTAATCCATTCTACCAAGTGATTCAACTGCATCAGCTTGAAAGTGAGAAATTTAAGATGATAGGACCAGTAAAGATCTTCTCTTTCCCAATGGTACAGGAAAAAGCACGGACAAGGTATTTACAAAGAGAAGAGCGCTAGAGAAGGCTTTTACAGATAAAGTAAGCAGCTTCCTATCAGCTGTCTTTATTCTTTAATTTACTGAATTAACATCAGTCGTGGAAGTTTAACTTTTATAATTGACAGAGAAAATATGGATAGTGAGTGTAATACTTAAAGAATGCTAAAGCAGCCACTACATTGTTCGACTTGTGCGATTCCCCTTGATGCTATGTATTTGCTTATGCAGCTTAAATGAGACCCTTGATCTTTGCTTTTATGTTTGTTTATGCCCCTAGCTCTTGCTGGCTTTATACCAGTCATACTTTGGAGATGGTGCAGTCAATAATTGCTCCATTGATAGACATCAATACATCAGACACAAGAGAATAGGGACTTCAACAGCCTGTCAGTCAAATATTTAGTCATTTTCTGGTAAATGAAGAGTAAATGGCTAAAAGAGCCTAGATCTATCAGTACTATTATAGTTTTTTGATAGAGCAATTATTCTCCTAAAATTGTTCTTGTAAGCATTCACTCTGGAAAATGACAGCGATGTAGCCCGAAAATGCATATCTAGTTTAGCATAATATATTTCTTGATAGTATTCTCTCCTTATGAAGCAAAAGATGTCCACTAGCTAGCAGTTAAGTTTGGGTGGAAATACTGTTCTAGGCTCCAGGAACAGCCTAGTAGTTCAAACCTCTTAGTATGCTAGAATGATGCAAGTGTTTTTTTTTGATAAGGTAAATTGTATTAATCAAAAGGGAGAGAACTCCCGTATACACGAAGTATACCAAAGACGTAGAGAATTTACATCAGAACATGATT